GCAAAATCATTTGATACTCATCTTACAAAAAGAAAACAGAGATAGCACATGAGCACAACCTAGAGCTTAAAATTAAAGAAATAGAAACGATCTATGCACAAACGCCAACAGAAGAGAATCTAAATAAACTTAGGAAATATAAATTAGAAATGTCAGACATAATAAATAAAAAAACAAAATTTCTAATCCAACAACTCAAACACAAGCACTATTTTTATTATGACCTATTTATTGATTTATTTCCTCTCCCTATATTCATATCATATTCATCATCATAAATTCTCATCACAGCCACTCTCATTTTTCATGCATTTCTTTTTCTTTTATTTATTTATTTTCTCTTTCTCCAATCCAGATGATTGTCTGTTTTTCTTTGGTTGCCTTCTTTTATTCATTATTTATGTATTTTCTGTTTCTCTTATAATTATAATTACTACTGCTATCACCCCGTGTCAACAAACCTTTGCTGTTTTTTTCTTCTTTTTACTATTATTATCATAATTACTACTGTACACTCCTGTAACTATTGCTTCCAATATTGATATTATCTCTATTATTTACCATTATTCGATATTATTATTATTTTTTTCTCTCTTGCTTTATATATATATATATATACATATATATATATCTCTTTTATTATTATCATTTTTATTTTGTACTATCATTATTATTATTAAAATTTTTCTCTTTTTCTGGTATTAGTGGTATGTTGAGGGGGATGAACCAACAGACCCCAGTATGTTAGGTCAGGACACACCTGCTCCACCACCATCACACTCAACACAGGCGTACCACAGGGCTGTGTGCTGAGCCCATTCCTCTACTCCCTCTTCACCCACGACTGCAAACCTGTACATGGATCCAACACCATCATCAAGTTTGCGGACGATACAGCGGTGATTGGCCTCATCAGCAACAACGATGACACGGCCTACAGGGAGGAGGTACAGCATCTGGCCGCCTGGTGTGCTGACAACGACCTGCTCCTCAACACCAGCAAGACGAAGGAGATCATCGTGGACTTCAGGAGAGAAAGAGGAAGCACGCACAACCCCATTCACATCAACGGGGATGGCTGTTGAACGTGTCTCCAGCTTCAAGTTCCTGGGGACCCACATCACAGAGGACTTCTCCTGGTCCACTAACACCTCCAGTCTGGTTAAGAAGGCTCATCAACGCCTCTTTTTCCTGAGGACACTGAAGAGACACCACCTGTCTTCAGCTGTACTGATGAACTTCTACCGCTGTGTGATCGAGAGCATCCTGACCAGCAGTGTCACAGTCTGGTACGGAAACTGCTCTGTCACAGACCGTAAGGCGCTACAGCGGGTGGTAAAAACCGCCCAGCGCATCACAAGGTGTCCACTTCCTGCCATTGAGGATGTCCAAAGAGCACGCTGTCTGCGGCGAGCTCATGGCATCCTTAAAGACTCCTCCCACCCTGCCCACAGACTGTTTACCCTCCTGCCCTCCGGCAGGCGCTTCAGAAGCCTCCGGACCAGAACCAGCAGACTGAGGAACAGATTTTTCCCCAGAGCTGTTTCTCTACTGAACTCTACCCCCCGAACTCTGAACTCTGTCTCTCTCTCTCTCCGCACCCTGCTGAGCCCCCCCCCCTTTCCCCTGCATATCACCTCACACCCATCATCCCCCCCACCACTCCTCCTGGTCACACACACACATCTCTCATCCACCTGTATTATTGTATTATAGTATGTTCATATTATGTCCATATTCTTTATATTATCTGTAAACTAGTATAGCATGCTCACTGCACCTTAATCTGTATATTATAATCCTAAGAATACACTTATTTTGTAGCATTACTTATTTATAGCATTTATTTATATTTATTGCATCCCATTAATCCAGCCATCCAGATATACCTAATAATTCATTTTTTTGTCTACATCTGTAAATTTTGTAACTATTGTACATAGCACAGACTCTTGCACTTTCTGCTTATTTGCACTTCTGGTGAGATGCCAAACCTCATTTCGTTACTCTATACTTGTATATGTGTAATGACAATAAAGTTGAATCTCATCTCATCTCATCTCATGAAGAAAGCAAGATAATGAGAATTAAAATGATACACAACAAATCATAGTCAAACAATCTGGACAAATTACATTATTATTATTACAACATGATCTGCACTATTTATACTACTGTTATCAACACATAACCCAACAACACACTACACTGGAACACAATTAATATGGTCCATTACCCACTTTTTTTTGTTCTTTTTTATTTTTTCATTCTTCAATTATTCTAGTTTTCTTCTTTCCCTTTGTTTTGAATATGCTTTCTAGCTCCTCCTGGTGCCTCCATCCTCTCAGTGGTCCAGTGGTGTATCTCTGAACACTAAGGTTAAAAAAAGGATAACGATAATAATAACAAATACAAAAATATACAAATACATTAAAAAAAACAAAAAAAACAATTGCAATGATATGACTGATCATTTACAGTCTATTGATTGTGCAATCTACAGTCACTTGTCTTGTATTGTTCTGCATCACCTAATAAAAATAAAAAATAGAAAAATGAAATAACGGAAAGAACCACGCTGTTTTCTGCATTTTGAAATATTCACAATAAAAGGTGAAGTAGATATTATTTCTCGACCGGTCTTAAAGTCGGAGGAAACTTCAGTCAAATCATGAAACATTCCTCACATCCTAACTGCTCATTTATTTGTAACGTTGTTATCACATCTCTTCCATACTTTAAATATTTTCCATCATTACGACATGTTATATAAAAATTTAAAACATGATGATCTCTCCGGTTAGTTACGATTAAACGTTTCCATTGGTCACCGGTCTTTCACTTGTTTGCGACAGTAACGATAAACCATGAGTGAGAGTGATCTCCCCGCACATCACTCGCTGCTCTCTTCTGATTATCAAGTTAAGACTATACTTTCAGGGATCATTTCTATAGTTTCTGACTTGAGAAATGTGTTTCTAAAGTGTTTGGTCTCGCTAACCACGATGATGAGTCGTGATATTCTCTTCTGAGCGTGAAGCGGACACAGAATAATGATTCACTTCATATGTTCTCTGTCATTGATGATCGTTCATAACTTCCTTTGTGGAGTTTTGAGGAAGAGAGTATGATCAGAGTGGTTACCATCATTGTTAATGTAAATATATTATTTTTTAAGGCGTATCATACTTTTCGTTCGTATGTGGAGTTAAGCGTACTGTCAGCTTTCTTTAGAGTATGATAAAACGTAAAGTTTCCAGTCTAATCAGGAGTAGTGATGTGAAAAGCAGTTCTTTTCAGTGTACTGAATCAGTAGAATCAGTTCAGTAAAGTGATTTGTTCAAAAGATTCGTTCACCGAATCGTTCAGTACTTCTCTGCAGCTCTGTCTGTGAATCAGAGTTTAATAAACTGAAACACGGCCAAACGTTTAGTTCTGCTCGCGATCGTACTGAGAACAGCCGGTGGTGAATAATAAGCCAATGAGCTGAGAATTTAGTTGGATAAAGCTACAGTTTGCAAACTGAAAGCTGCTAAAACAATCACATTTATTTTCCCCGACCGTTCTGTTCAGTACGTTCAGTACACAAATCACTGACTGACTGACTGAGAGGGAGAGAGTGACTCACGTCGGAGCTCAAGTTCAGTTCGTTCAGTGAACGAAACTCTGACTGAACGTGAACGAGCGAGACTGCGAGTCACCAGCCACACACACACACACACACGAGAGACATGAGAGGGAGAAGTAGGGGCGGGCTTTAGCGACACAGAGCTCCCGACCGACTCCGTCCTGTTGGTTCAGTCAGTACATATCACTGACATAAAAGGAGAGGGAGGGCGGGCTTTGAGAGACTCTTACGGTCTGGAGAGAGAGACAAGAGACGGGAGAGAGGAGAGAGAGTTGAGAAATGAACGACTCTTTTCAGTAAGTGATTCAGTTCAGTTCGTTCACCCAGATGATTCGTTCGTTTTGAACGGATCGTTCATGACCGACACATCACAAATCAGGAGAGTGAGTTTAACCACGAGTAGAGAGCACATCAGGGAAATTTCTAGAGATAAAGAAGAATGTAATTTACCGTATTTGTGACATGTTATGATCAAATAACCAGAGTGTTCAAAATGTGTTGATAATGAAGTACTTGTTTATTTAGGATGGAAGTTGTTTTACATTTACAATACATTTAAATTCAGAGTAGAAATGTATACATGGTAAACAAATACAGTCGAATGCGTAAATAAAAAACTACGTAGTCCATGAAATCCCAAAAAGTAAAAACAAAAATATAACCCTGTGCGCACAAGATTTTTTTTTTTCAACTTATTGGGCCTTACAAACAGACATACAAAAAAAATATATATATATACAACAAAAGAAACAATTTAAAAGCCAGCGGACAACATGACAACAACATATAGGGAATAGTTTAAACAAAAACCTTTAATTGGAAAACACATTCGTCGTTTTAATAGCTTTTATAGTAGTACTCGTTTTCTTTTCCAAATGCTGCCTTCGTGTGCACCTCGGGGATATTGTATTTACCGTATTCACGAGTTATTAGCTCATGAACGGCCCTCCAAAGTCGTCCTTAGATTCAACTGGGGAATTGGGAAGTTTCGAGGATACCCGAGTTGTGACGTTTGCGTGACATTTCAGGAGAGAAAGCTTATGAAGAGAAGCAACAAAAGACGATAAAAACGTATATTGTTAATAGTAGCATGTATTTCTAGAAGTTGCACATTTTTGTATTTGCATCCAGCCTACTAGTTGCAGCAAGCAGGCAATTGTTTAACTCTAAATCATGCCAGGTGAGTTTATTGACATTGATAACAACGTTTACCTGAAGCTCTTTTTATGTTCTTCATTCTGTGAGAGAACTTTAATACGTGCGGGTCGTCGTTACGACTGAAGAACTGGCAAGTACGACCTTTTCGAGGAGCACGTCAAGGCAGCATGACTCGGAAGTTACGCTTTGCTTACACCTACGGCGTGACGTCATACGTAAATAAGTTGATCAAGCTTCTGCTGCTTTCCTGAAAGGGGTTGTTGTTTTGTACACAGAATGATTTAGAGCTCGGTTAAGACATTAATGGAAACACTGACATTTTGTAGAAACTACCGGAGATAAACTCAGATTATCTGACACGGAAATTCACGAAGGCCTGACTTTGAAACGAATCTGAAATTAAGCCTCGTGCGAACAACAAACCGAAGCGCTAACAGGAGTTAGCTCACACGATCCTCCGTCACACCGTTTAGTCTCACTTTCTCTGCCATTTCGTCTCAAGTCGGGTTTTAGGACTCGGTCAACAAGTTCAGTCGGTGGTTTCGCCAGGAGAGGATGAACTGGCTTTTCCCCCTGTCCAAAGGCTCCGGACCGCTCCCACCTTTGAACAGCCTCCAGCAACAAAGACAGCGGCAGATCGAGTCCCTGAAAGCCGCTCACCCCAGGTAACGCTCACCGGTGTTATGTCGAGATCTGCTACCCTGTCGAAAAAATGCTACCACAGCGCAGCGGAAAAACAAGACCCGGTTAGCTCATTTCACCGTGAATGTTTCATGACCGCTTTATTTGTGTCAGTTATTGGACCATGTTGACTTTAGCTCTACAAACAGTTCATGTTTACTCAGCGCCTGTGGCTGTGTTAGCTTCGTTAGCCAACCGGCTAATCAAGTGACAGTTTCAGCGTCTATTTTTAGTTCTTGACGACTCGAGTTGTAGCCGGCCCGCCTCGCCCCGTGATCGTTCAAGGGTTTGCCAAGCCACCTTGTCGCGCTTTTGTTTGAAGGAGGAGCCTGATGGCGTGGAGATTAAAGCATTAGCCTTTGTTTACTAAGGAGCTTGACCATCTCCCACACTGTTTTTGTTTTGTCTTTCTGCTGAGTAAGACATGCAAGTCTAAGCAGCTCATATTGTTCTTCACTGCACAGGTAGAACAGGAGTAATGCATATTATCCTATTGATTCAGAAATTATATCTCATATATGCCCTGATTGGTGGATCCTTTAATCATTTTAAATAGTTTTCCTTCTCTCTAATGAGTTTTTTTTTTTTTACACCTGTTCTGTAATCTGTGTGTCATGATGGATGTCAGTCTCAGTGGCTGCAAGCAAATCTACCTGCGGGTTCAAATAAAGTAACCTGTCCTGAACCCAATCGTTTGGCCTGGTTAAGTGTAAAAAGGAGGCAGCATTTTTCTTAAAATATCATTACAATCAAAACTACAGTAATGCTTTACAGCAGTGATTCCCAAAAGAGGGGCACTGGACCCCAAGGGGGGCGATGGAGATATCCATCAATCTTTATTTGTATAGCTCCAATTCATAACAAATGTTACCTCAAAGGCCCTGACACACCAAGCAGACGGCAACGAACTGGTGGCAGCGAAGGCCGCCTGTGGCGTCGCCTCAAGTCTTGGCCAAAAAGTTGCACTTGAACGCACCACAAAGACTACAGCCGACAGCCAACCACCACGTATGTTCTGCACATGTGGAGAGGAAATAACTCTTCATGATAGCAGGCGGCGGTAGTCCGTTGTTATGGTAGGGGAAGACCATTTTCACACCGCTGTCGGTCACCACTTGTATTATAGGTAGCCTACTAATGGAGAATAATGTCTGATAAAAAGTTGAAAATGGTGCTGGCATTGTCAGCTCTTGGTCTTTTAGTGGAAAAAGAAAAGGAAGAGGCAAAGGCGTCAAATAAGGAGAAACCGGCCAATGCTGATTCAACATGTCTAATCGGCTGAAAAAGAAGCAGACAGTGGCTGACAGGTGGCGACAGAGCCGGACACACCACAAAAACTAGGGTGACGACCACTCACCGACGGCCCATGATCTCCTTGGTGTGTCAGGGCTTTTAGACACTAAAGTTACAGTGGAGAGGGAATAGTTCCTTTAAGGGTGCACTCATACAAGGAAATGGTTAAAGTTTGACTCCTGCTCTTTTCCTTGCTCAAGCATGATACAGCTCCTCGTCCCTGGCACGGATGGAAGAGGTTAGCTCCGGCACATTTGCTCATGCACAAGCACGGGTACACAACGTGGACAGCCTCCATTATCGAGAAATCCCAGAGTGTTCTGGCTGCATCTGACTAAAACGACTCAAAATAAGCCACAAAGTCAGTAAAGTAGCTGTCATGTTCTTTGTGTTGTTCCGACAACAACAATAAACAAGATACAGTTGAGTATAGATGCAAGAGATGAAGATGTAACATATGACGGGGTGGTCAGCAAGGCTTAACCAAAACAATTCACACTGTTTTTCTCCGCTTCCGAAGCATTGCAATTCTTGTTAGAGGACTAATCTAAACCAGACGCCACAAATCTTCAGTTATTTCAGTTGGATAACATGAAGTTGCTATTTGGTACTTCTCACAGCCAATGAGTGACATAAATTCTTTAAAAAAAAAAAAAAAAAAGGGAATTTGTTGGCGTGACTTAATGAATCGACCTCTCTCTTCAAACTCACAGAAGCTTTACAAACAGAGGATGAAGAGGAATACTCCCTCCTAAATTGTCCTGATTGTGACCTCAGATAAAACCTGACATATTATCTTGACATTTCAGTGTTTCTCTTGTCCTACAGCCTTGCAGAGATCCAGAAGGATGTGGAGTACAGGATACCATTCACAGTCAACAATTCCACCATCAGTGTTAACATGTGAGTACGCTGGCTTCTCAGCAGCTCTGCACCTCAGACCCTCTACACCCAAAAGAATTAAAGCGTGACACCAGAAACTAGATTTACAAACTCTCTTAAAGTAGTGGAAACAAACGAGTGTTGAGTACATACAGTACAGGCGAGCAGAAAACAACCAACAATCAGTCCGTTATCTTCCGCATATCCGGTCCAGGTCACAGTGGCAACGGGGGAGGGAAAGTTTCCCGAGACGTCCCCTCTCCCCAGCGACGTTTTCTAGCTCCTTATGGGGGATCCTGAGGTGTTCACAGGCCAGAAGGGGTATGTAATCTGTACCGCGTGTTCTGGGTCTACCAAGGGGTCTACTCCCAGTTGGGCCTGCTCGGAAAACCTCCAAAGGGGGGTCGACCAGGAGAAATCCTGATCAGATGCCTGAACCACCCGAGCTGGATCCCTTTGATGTGAAGGAGTAGCGGCTCTACTTCGAGCTCCTCATTATATCTCTAAGGCTGAGCCCAGACACATTCTGGAGGAAACTCATATCAGACACTTATATACGCAATCTCATTCTTTCGAACACTACCAAAAGCTCATGACCACAGATGAGGGTGGCTCAGGCTCAGTTCCCTTTTCACCACGACAGTCTGGCACAAAAACCTGCAAAGCTACCGACGCTGCACCAATCGGTCAATCTCGCAGTCCATTTTACCCTAACTCGTGAACAAGACCCTGAGATACTTGAACTCCTCCTCTTGATTCAGGGACTCACTCCCCACCGGGAGGGAGCAATCAGAGAAACATGGCCTCGACTTGGAGTTGCTGACCCTCATCCCAGCAGCTTAGCACTCGGCCCCAATGTTCCATATATTACATACCTTTCTATCCATTCTGATACTTTGATTTCTGAACACCAAACCTGTCATACTTTGTCTCCTCTCTCCTGCAGTCTACTACCTCCTCAGTTCCCCCAGGAGAAGCCGGTGGTCAGTGTCTACCCCCCTGTTGGTCATCATCTAGTCGACAGCAATAATGGCACCATAATCACCAGCCCCCTCATCGTTAATGTAAGTAGCTCTCCAGGCTGTTGAGAAAAATTGACTTAGTGTTTTTCCAGATTAAACTTTGTGGAACCTAAAGGTCCAATCAGTGAGATGTGTAGTGAGTGAAATGATAAAGTGACCTTACTATATGATAAGACATTAAGGAAACTTGCTATGTTGAAGTGCTGGCTTCTCTGACAACAATGCAGCAGCCAGTATGTCCTCCTTCTAACTTTAGATTCTGGTCCTGAATGCTCTGGATTTGTTTGACCAGAGAAGGTAGGTGGTTTTAAGGAGACCCCCACACGGCTGTTTTGGACGCCCCTCGGTTTGCCAGATATGAGAGCAGTTATCAGGTCAAACCAACAGGTGTTGCAGTGATGGAAGCAGCAAGAGAACTGGTTCAGATAGAAGTGATTGTACCCGACCTAAAAAGCCTCTGCATGTTTCTAATAAGCTCCACGAGCAGAAACGTGCTCAAACTAGGATCAATATTGGAGATGCTTTTGAAAAATGGAGAGAGAACGCAGAAAGGTTTACAGACCGATGCAGAGCTGGTTAAACACTGAAGCTTCAGTGTCCACCACATGGCAACCCACACGAGCATCACCAGATTTTAGGATACACTTAGATTCATATTTCTCCCAATAAGCCTTTTACTTTTGTGCATATGATGAAGTTATGTTAGTGACTCTAGAAAAAACTAAATTTCTTTCTTTGCCTCCTTACTTAAAATGATCTTGTGTGGTGCAGTGAGGTAATTCTTACTTTCCTACACGTATTCATTTTTTCTTGTTATGTATGTTTCAGTTTGGGATGCACTCGGATCTCGGTAAAGTTATTCAGAGTTTGCTGGACGAGTTCTGGAAGAGTCCTCCTGCCTTGATGTCGTCTGGTTCTGCTGGCTTTCCATAGTGAGTCCCTGGTTACAAACATGGACACCTGTCTTTAAATGTCTTAAATTATTGCTTAAAATGATGCATCAGTAAATGGACTGTTGGTGGAATCTATAAGTAAATAGCTTCAACATAGTTGAGATTTTCTCTCCTAAAACACACAAGGTATTTGTTTTCCTTGTAGTGAAATAATCTTCCCTCCCCTCATGTTTTCTCACAGCAGTATGTACAAGCCATCAGGCATGGCTCCTTACCCCACTCAGGCTTACCACTATCCTCGCCACGTGGGCCCCACTCACACGCCGCCTGCTGGTCCAGCTCTGTCTCCAGCTGCCATGCCTCACTCAGGGCATGACGGCGCCCACGGCCACCCTCGAGCTCCAGCACCTTACGGCCTGATTTCTGATCTGCCTCTGCCTGTCCCTGCTGGAGACTCACAGGTGCTCATGTCATTGGTCACGTCGGGTCGGCCCCACTCATTCATACATCGTAAACACGACGCTGCAAACGTCTTTTCTTGGACAAACACCATGAAGCTCTGGTCAGCTCCAGATAAAACTTATGATGGTATAAATATATCCAGTGATGAATGTGCTGTCTTCTGTTTCAGGCTGGACTGAATGGACACATGTACAAGATGCCTGAGATCCCTGACTCTTTCCCTGAACTCAGTGACTTAAAGTAAATCATTCTTAAGTATTGTAGACGGAAAGTTACTTTAAGGATGGAGATATTCTTGCTTTTAATTACACTTCAAGCTGTGCATGATTGCTGCGCCATGTGCTGTTTGTGGAGCGTTGGCTGTGCACATCCTCAAAAATGAACCCTGAGGTCGTGAGATGCAGAATGAACCTGAACTTGCAGGGACAACAATGGCAGAAAGTTTTATAACAATCTGGTCGACCACTAGTTCTTACACACCTGCACAAAACTCCTGAAGTTTCCCGGTTTGAGCTGCATGTGTGAACTCAAAGAGGCACATTTTTCACCTGGGAGTTTCTCCTCCAGCCTCCTCGTATTTATTCTGCAGAAAGTCAGAGTGAGCTGATGTGAGAACGCAGCAGGATATAATCAGGAGAATTCACCTGGAGCGAGTGGGAGGGGGTGGTGACCTTTATTCCCTGTGATCGCTGCACGACCTACGTCATTCTTTTATGTAAGGTCTTACCTCAGGACCCCCCCCCCCCCCCTCCTGTCAGACAGGAATTAGTCTCCCGCTGTGAGGTGCATGTGTCAACAACCAGAACAGGAGCATTTCCTGGAATTCTCTAGAAATGTTCAGGAATGTGTTAAAACGCAAAAATATCTCCGGCCTTAAATCTCTGATAATCAAATCCTTGTTCCTCTTATCTTATCCTAATGCTTCTCATCTTCTCGTTCCCTCCGTCCTTTTCTGTTCTCTGTCCCAGTCTGACCCAGCTGTCGAGCATGTCTGAAAACGAGGATCTGTTACTGGAATTCTTTGTGAGTTTGCCTCAGCTCAAACAGGTCGCCAGTGATAAAGAAGAGCTGGTCAACAGCATAGTGGACATGGCTAGTAAGTTCCTGTGCAGAGTATCCTGCTGGGCGTAAAGGAAAGACACAATCCCAACATAGATTGAGCTTTACAAAGGATTTGAGCATGTTTCTTTTTGTGTCACTCAGAGAAAAACCTTCAGATGGAGCCGCAGCTCGAAGGAAAAAGACAAGAAATGCTCTACAAGGTGTGTTACTACATCCCGTCTACTGTTCCATCTCTTCCTCCGCTCACAATTATCATCACATTCTTCATCACATTCTTCATGTGTCACCGATCATGATGTGTGTTTTTGTTTGTTGACAGTACGAACAGCTGACTCAGATGAAGTCTGCCTTTGAGACCAGAATGCAGAGACAGCATGAGCTCAGTGAGGTAAGAGGCTACACTCATGAGTGTGAGTGTGAGTGTGCGTGTGCGTGCGTGCGTGTGTCCGTAAGGCCCTGGAATTCTTTCTTTTTTTCCCCCTTCTTTTCCCTTTCCCTCCACTCCCTCATTTTTATTCTTGCCATCATTATCATTGTTTGATGGAGGTGTGCCCCTGTCTCAGCTGCCCCCAGACCCTGCGGAGGGGGCCAGCTGATAGGGTCGCCCACTGCCAACCTCTCACCTCTGTGGGTACACGACACGATCCATCGGAGACTAACAGTATGGGGAATGCTGTTGAAAAGAGAGCAACTGGTGTCAACAGCGCCCTTCTGAAAAGTTAAAAGATTTTTTAAATAGAAGCAACCGGAGCGGCTGCACAGAAAAAGGCGCCTTTTTCTACAAACGCTCTCCCCTCATTGGGTCCAATTCAAAAAGGAGAAACCAGCTCTCACAACATGCTCGTTCATTACTCACTTTAAAGCTCCACTAATAATTCTTTTCTGTGTCTTTTGCCCCGACCAGAGCTGCAGCCTTAGCACCCTGCAGGCTCGGCTAAAAGTTGCGGCCCACCAGGCTGAGGAGGAGTCGGAGGTGACGGCAGAAAACTTCCTGGAGGGACGAACAGATATCGACGAATTTCTGGCCAGCTTCATGGAGAAGAGAACAGTAAGAGATAAAGTGTCCCTCTGAGTCTGAGACAAAAAAAAAAAACAGACAAGTGTAGAATATGTCACAAAGAAGGAATAAATGTGTTTGGTTTGTGTTCCCTCGCAGCTTTGCCACAGCAGAAGGGCCAAAGAGGAAAAGTTACAACAGTCCATCAACACACATGGACCGTTTCCTACCAGCCACTAGAACACAAGGTACAATACACACACACACACACACACACACACACACACACACACACACACACACACACACACACACACACACACACACACACACACACACACACACACAGATTAAACAGACACCCCTGGACTGTACGGCCAGACGGTGCCAAGCTTTCCTCCGTCATCTGGGACAGCTGCTTTGTTTGTTTGCCGCCTCTGTTCACTCTTCTTCTCTCGTCTTATATTTGGTCCACAGGTTTGTTTTTTTTCTCTCAGCCGACTGCTGCCAACTGAAAGGATAAACGAAAGCACACTGAGTCAACAACGGGCACTTTGGAGATAAGAGGAAGACTGTGACGGCGATGATGGAGATCTGCACCAGGACTTTTGAATATGGAGTGTGTGAGAGCGAGATTGATAAGTTATAGAAACACAGCGGGAGGCTCGTACCGGGGCGAAGGTGGGACACTCGTCCAGCTTTTCTAAACGCCGTTACTGTGGAGCCTTCACATTTTGGAGATTTTTTTGCACATGCTGTTCGTCCACGCTTCACTTCACGGGGACAAACAAAAATGTTTCTTTGAAGAATTTAAAGCTGTTTTCACACATGCACAACCTCCTCCCCCTGAAAATATCCCAAAGTTGTTATTCAGCATGCCCCTCGCAGCTTGAAGTACTTCCTGTATGACTGGAGGGCGCAGTCTCACGAGGCAGAACACTATGTAAAAAGAACGCTGCAGATGTAATAATGGATACAAGATATCCAAGATAGCGATCAAAGAAAGTCTGGCGCTCTTATGACTTTATATTGATGCTACGTGTAATCGATTGATTTGTAGCATCAACTAAAACGTGAGGAACGTTCAGCAGGAGTTGGAGGCGACTTCTTATCGTGCAGGACAATCGCAGAATGATATAAACGTCATCACCGCCTCGTCCTCGCCCGCAGGGAGATTTCATCCTTTAACCCGCTGCGTTCACACGTCAGCTCATTCCGACTTCACTTAGAAATATAAGGAGGGGCCGGCAGAGGCTGGTTCTGAAAGTGTTGGGAAACTTGCAGGAGTTTTGTGCATGTGTTAAAAACGTTTCATGTTTCATCGCTCAATAAAGCCGCGGGTGTACACTGTAAGGTTTCATAAAAGTCGATGTGGAATGTCGGCTCACGCTGTACGACTGAATCATTTACGACGCTCGGCTGAAGCTCACGATTTATGAGCTCACACTTTAAGACCTGATGGTTGGCCACGACCTGAGCGCTCACACTGTACGAGTGAAATCAGGACATTAGTTCACAATCGTAGAAAACTCCCACAGATGGAGGTTGAATCGCTTTCTCTCTCTCTCGCTCTCTCTCTCTCTCTCACACACACACTCAGCATCACCAACAAACACAAGCTAACTAGCAGCTTATTCACAACAAATATTGATATTCCCCGTCAGCTGAAGGTCTGCAGATATTTCCAGCCAACTGAATTGAGGGGGAAAATGGATTACAAACAGTCATGCCGGCTGTTGCCATGGTGATTTAGTACGCTGTCTGTCGTGTGTGAAGAAGACACAAGAAGCCCTGCAGTTGAGAAATCAGCTTGTGGCTCTGCTCTCACTGTGCGAGAGCGTGCAGTCGGGAGCAGCCAATCTCACTTAAATTGGCCCCGTCTTAAAAATGAAATGAAACGATGTACGCCCCGGATTAAGAGCAACACCTGCACCAGTTCAGAATCAGAACTGTTGTTGATGTGAACACTTTTGGAGACGTGTGAGGTAGTCAACGTTTCTGACTTAATGTTTGACGTTCTTAAGTTTGGTGTCTTTACTTTCATCTCTGAGATCGTTGTCGTGTCATGCTAAACTCTCCGAGAAAGATTTGAACCCCCTGGACAGAAAGTAGAACAACTTGTACGTTTACGTTTACAATGAAGGACTGGTTCTAGATATGAACATGAAATCCGTCAGTGACACTTCAACCAGTCGAGATTCTCTCCCTCACAAAAGAGGATGGGAGACATTTAGCTCGGGCAAAGTCCAATTCTCTCTCTCTCTCTCTCTCTCTCTCTCTCTCTCTCTCTCTATTGGACTGTGGTTTATTTTGATTATGTTGGTGGGGGTCCCTCTTCAGTGATGTCTGGAACGCCGCCTCGGTATCAGCTGTACGTCAGAATAGCAATCAACATAATCCAATTAACAAACGTGGTTGATTGTTGTGTTCCTGATTTGCTGTGAAAGGTTTGTGAGTGATCTTTTTTCACAAACGACGACGATCCCAGACATTGACCCGTTTGACAAGCAGACCGGTCGGATTAGATCCAATCCAGAGTACTGCAGAGCGACTTTTAACGGTTTGATCATGATTTCATTCAGCGCTCTCTACATGAATCAAGCGATTTGTTTTCTCACGTAAACATTCTGAGGATGTCGAGCGCCGTCGTCGAGACTCTTTTCCCGGAGCCGTCTGAACTCTGAGTTCTTGATTATGAAGAGCGTCAGAAGATTTTGTCGAAGGGAGATTTGGCTGAATGCTGCAGTAAAAGTGGAGGACATTGGATACTGTATTTAAATAATGTTAATAATAACAGGCTGTATTGTAATCAAAGACTCGGCCACTTTGTATTATATGTTATTATTTAATTTGTTAGAATAAAAAAGCATTTAGAAGAACTCTGGTTGGCTTTTGTTTTCTGTTTCTTTCACTCTCTGATCTCCTCAACTTCAGTTCAGACCATAAAACAAACACTGAAATACTGAATGTAATGTCTTCATTATTATAGAAGTGATTATATTCAGGATTAAGACTCTTGGAGAGCTTTCCCAGTTCTACCACAACCTTGTTAATCTCATAATGAGCCGGAGCACGACTCACTAACAGGGTTCATGGGTGAATACCCTGAACACTGCAGGTGTGAAACTAGCACAAAAGAAGCAGAAACCAAACCAAACACACAATAAGGAGCTTAACTTAACTGCTCACTGTGCATGCCGATGAGGGAAACAAACAATGTGATTATTAATCAGCTGTGAATGTGCAAAGTTCACCTTAACCCTTGAGATGCATAAGTTGGTCTAAAATGACCCCAGGAGGACGTTTTCTTACAAAATCTTTGTAACTGTGTGTTGTTGTCATATCATCCATTATCAATGCCACTTTTCCTGTTCAGAGTCGTGGGAGGCTGGAGCTCTGAACTTGTTGCCAGCCGATCACAGGGTTGACATATAGAGACAGACAAATGGCAACACTCACATTCACAACTACGGGCAATTCAGAGTCAGCAGTTCACCTAACGATTGGACTGTGGGAGGAAGCTGGAGTACCTGGAGAGAACCCACACATGCATGGGGAGAACATGCAAACTCCACACAGAAAGGCTCCTGTCAGACAGGGATTCAAACCAGGAACCTCCTCGCTGAAAGCACAACTGCACTGACCACTGCACCACCATGCAGCCCCTGCTATCATGTCATATTCCAGGTATTCCCTTAAAGGTCACATATTATCCCCCTTTTAGGTAGTCGTCCTCAGTGTCTCCCTGTAGTCTCAGTGATGTAAAAGAAGGACACTGCTGCATCTTTGAATGTCTCATTTCACTTTAACAAACTATGACATCACACATTGACCTTTGAGCTGTTTGATGTCAGTTTTGATCCCTAACCACTTCCTGTTTCTGTGCGTAACTTCATGCCCTAACTTCCCATCTACCAGAAGGGCCTTATTACAAAATAAAAGCAGTGCTGAATAAAAAAAAAAATACTCTCAGCTTAAAACAACAAAGTTTCAAAATAAAGGCCTAAGGTGATTAATCACGATTAACTATTGATGTATAGAGATCAGTCCTGATTAAACATTTTGATCCTTTGACAGCCCTGATATGTTTATGAATGTATGGCTGAGGCGTTCACGTGATTGATTGTAATATGAGTCCTGTGAGCTCTGCCTGACTGACGTCTTGGAGTCTAATAAAGGGGTAAACATAGACTGAGAACTGTGATGAGGAAAGATGCTCTGTCTTAATTTTATTTATATATTTTTTTCTTCAGTGACATTTATTTTTTAATCCATATTCATTCGTGTATTTCTTTATAAATGCCTTGATGTTTTTTATGTAGTTATGTAAAGTATATTGAGGAAAGCAGAGGGTTTTGACCTCCCCTCTGAAGCAGCAGGTGGCGGTATTTATTTCACTCTACACACCAACTTCCGGAAGTCCATGGTAAAACGAAGAAGAAGAAGAAGAAACACGGAACTGCGGAGGAGGCGCGCTTTGCAAGAAGGGAACTGGAAAACTTGGAACACAGTTAATTTTACGTAAGAAAGTCGTTTAATCTTTGATTTTATTCATGATTTGTCGTTAAACTGAACCGACCATTACTCAGAGTAACGCCTGAACCGGGAAAAACCTCCGTGTTTGTTCACCGGTTAACGGACGGTAGAGATGTAACGTGGCGAAGATAAAATGATCGTTATCACGGTCAACTTTATTAACTTACATTTTAGTTGATTTAAGTCGAAACGAAGGAAGCAGAAAGCTCACGTTTGAAACGGTAATGACGTCACCTCAAACCGAAGTTTACCCGCGCACGTTGTTTTATTGTGAAAGTCTTGTCCACGGAAATACATCTGTTGGGTTGCTAGGTGACGCATCTGTTTGGTTGCTAGGTGACACATCTGTTTGGTTGCTAGGTGACACATCTGTTTGGTTTGCTAGGTGACAGAAGGAAAGTTTCCGTAAGTTTTATTATGTTTTGTTGGTTTAAAATGAGTATTTTAAAACAGTGTTGGTTGTTTAATAAACTTTATTTCAGACTAGACATTAACTCATAGACAAATACAGCGTTAATGAAATATCATGTACAAACAAAGAAGTACGTGAATGATAATCAATAACGGTCATAATTAAAATAAATACGGTAAATACAATGCCATGTGTGTCCTTCATGATATATTGTGATACGAAAATGTACAGGAAGAAACTACAAACTAGTACTAATTAACAAATGCAGTGAGTTTCTAAAAGCCTAAATATGGAGGATTTTTATTTAACATTAATTTAAAAAAACTGCGTCAGTTTTTCAGTCCTGAAGTATGAAGGATTTAAAGCTCCTGTGAGGAGTTATTTCTCTGATTATAAAACATTTTGGGAATCTGCCACCAGCCAACTTAAAGCTTTACAACACTCCTGAAACTGATGGCTATCATCTGTGGATCGTAGATCCGCAGCGTAAGGACTGGCACACCTTTTTACAACAAGGAAAACAACAGATTCAAGCAACACAGTCAATAAAAACAACATATACTATATATACAATGAGCATCTGTGTTCTGTGTCTCTAGGTCAGTCCAGAGTCATGTCACGACAGATGGGAGACAGCCAGCGCCGCTTTCTACAGACCATGATGGCGTGTGGCATCGTTGATGAGCCCGGGGCACGGAGGCTCTATCAGTATTGTTGTGAGACCCACAACAGTGAGTACAGTAACCATACAGGCAGCGATGGACAGCGACAAAGCACATTTAGTTCAGTTTTATTTTTAGGGGGAAACTTTTAACTCTTACTCGACTACATTTGAAGACAAATATCATACTTCTGACTCGTCTACATTTCTGTGAATGTTCTCGTTACTCGCTGATTAATTTGATTTACTTTCCTAAACTCTGATCCCAAAGACAACAAACTGTGTTCAAGTAGCAAACGTCGCTCAGATCAGACAGCTCATTCAGTGGAGTAGTGGAGTTTCTTTTTCTATGTTTTAGTCGATGTTGGTGCCAACAGCGCTGCAGAGACGTGAACAAAGCAGAGGGAGCTTTAGCAGCAGGTAGAAGAACAAGCTGCACAGTTTTAGGGAGATTAATTTGTTTTAAAACAGTTTTGTTAATTTTCTAAATAGTTGCTATGACCCAAAGAAAGGGCGGTTCATACAGGAGTCAGAGGCGGGGCGGACAAATAACAGGAAGTGGATTCTCTTCATTTCATCAAACTGCACGACCTACTTAATCGTTACTTTTCTAAAATGAAAGACGACGTAAAGTTAATTAGCTTTTCCTGCCTAGATAAAATATGCACCGTGTCTTTTTTTTTTTTGGCAGCACAGCAAGCCCCCGACCAGCTGGATGATTTCATCGACACCATCAACTCAAAGCTGCAGCCTTTGTTCATGCAGATTAGGAAAGGGATTTCTGAAGACAGCGGTCACCAGTACTACGCCTTGGTGAGTCTGTGTAACGTCTGCACTCAGCCTGCATCGTCACATCTGCACTCCTGAAAATATCCAGATCATTTCAGGAGGACTGCTCCTCATATCCTCCTGATCTGGTTGTTCACACATGCACCTCACAGCGGGAGACTATCCCTGTCAGACAGGAGGGGGGGAGGGGGGTCTCCTGAGGTAAGACGTGTAGTTGAACAGAATCTCAATGTGAACTGAAGAGTGGAGAAGAACATACTGGAGAACAGGAAACATAATGCAGCAGGTTCATTAGAGCACAGAGATGGTAGAGGTGGTGTGCAGACAGTCTATGGTTGTGCAGTGATCACAGGGAATAAACGTCACCACCCCCTCCCACTCGCTCCAGGTGAAATCTCCTGATGTAAGGTGGGACCACAGCAGGATATAATCATCAGGTTGTTTGTAACAGATTCACTTGAACCTTTTCAGGTAAACATGGCAGTGACTGATGTCACCAGGATGTCTTCAGATTACGCCGACAATGAGCTGGAGCTGTTTGTAAAAACGGTGAGCTAATGTCACGCGAGGACACCCTGAATATTTCCAGTTTGTAGAACCTTTTCAGTCAAAGCCATTTACAGCACACGTTTCTATAACTCTGGTGAAGTCTGACTTTTAAAGGCCGAGCTTTAATAGAAACATAAACTGCCATGGTCTGAGTCTGCTCTGTACTAATGCTCTTTTAAACTGTTAGATAATAAATACCATCTTTGGGTTAGCTTCAGATGGAGATCACATGTTTCAGTTCTCTGCCGTTATTAGTAAATAACAAGAAGAACTGATGTCAAACGGACATTCATCAGCAGAGTGTTCAGCTGTATTATTCCCCCCATCAGAAGTTTTTGTCCTGACTGACTACTCGTTCTGATACAGATGGACCTGATCGTGGGCTCTGATAACGGCAGCGCGTCCTCCACAGACATTTTAAACAGCGCCGACACCCTGACCAGTAAAAAGCTGAAGAAGAGCGAGACGGAGCACCTCCTGAACCGACTTGTGCACGACAAATGGCTGAATGAGGTAAAAAAACTAAAACAAATACAGGATCTCAATCAGGATTTAAAATCACTTTTACTGTTTGAATGGATCACCATGGTGATGCAAATGCAGACAGAAAAAAGTCCCTGTGGTGTGTAGTTACACCTCTGGCTGCAGTTTTGTTGTGTAATTTGTTTCTGTTCCTTGGTTTAGAAAAGGGGGGAGTACACTCTATCCACCAGATGTATTATTGAGATGGAGCCGTACATCCGCACGATGTATCAGGACCAGGTCAAGGTGTGCCACATCTGTCACAACATCGCCATCCAGGTAAATGTTTCCTGTCGTTGTTCTACAACCTGTGATGAACACATGAATGAAACCTGCTAGAATCACTTCTCTAAGAAGGGGGAATAAAACCTGTCATAACCATTTTCTTTACTTAAAGGTTGAAACATTTTAATTTTCATAACTTTCTTTTTGACATTCTGAATTGCCGTCCAAGTTCTTTAACCTTTTCTCTCTGTTCGGTTGTTCAAGCTGTTTTTTCTCTGCTGGTTACTTTAAACAACATCCAGCTTAAATATGACAAACTGACCGTGTTCATGTGGACTTGAGTATCCTGGTTCTGAGTCTCATCCTGGTTCTGATCATATTCAGGACATGGAGAGAAACCTGGTTCTTCGTATCCCTGTAGACATGATAAATACTCGTATCGTGCTTTATGATTACTGCACTCAATGTCTATTCTAAAGAAGAGTGGACTCTGTGTTAAAGTCACCTGATTCATATTTTGTTCCAGTGCCAAATCTGTGAGAATCCTACATGTGGAATCAAAATACACAACCCGTGTGTGGCGAGATACTTCAAAGGCCGACCCGAGCCGCGCTGTCCGGCGTGTGAGGACTTCTGGCCTCATGAGATCCCAGGTATCTGACGTCTGGGACTTTTTTTTACCCTCATGCATCATTATGGACATTTTTGTTCATTTATGCAAATGTTTCCTCTTAATCTGGCCATCATTTTGTCTGTGTTAGTGCATATGGTACACATTTTTGTGTCAAGTCTCTCTCTTGACACATTTTGGAATGCACATTTTATTTTTAATAGATCAATAGAACACTGGGAAACATTTTTATTACCCTCTTGAGTCATAAAGGACAAAAATGTCCACTTCCAAAAAACTGCTATAAAAATAGAACATATTGATATTTTTTTCTACTTTCACCATTAATGACGTCAGTCTGGGACGCCTGTTGAGTAGCGTTGTGAGATGTTGTTGTTGTGCTCAAAAACGTCCTTATTGATCTGAAACTGGTGCCTGTAAAGTCCCTCAGCTTCTGCCTGAAACACTTCATTTCAGCTACTGTCTCTTTAAGGCCCTGCCTCCTCACGTGCCAACTCTCCTCTGATTGGCCAGCTCTGTTTGCAGTCTCAGGGAAATATGAGTGAGCTTCTTGGTGGGCGTGTCCTACAACTTTGCTCCATGCTTTGCTCTGATACGTCGCCAGAACCTGACGTCAGGTCCTCACCAAGTCTCGCTATGGACTCAAAGATCCGTCTTTTCCATTTACAGCCATTTGTTTCGATGGAATGTTTTCAGACAGAAAGAGGCGGGCGTTGTTTGGTAGCCCGCAGAGGTGATAGGCGTGTAAAATAAATAATAATTAATCTTTTATTTTGTAGCTGATTAAAGAAACATCGATTTTAAACTTCAGTCCATTTCACAACCCGATGAGAACTCCTCACAGGAGCCTTAAACCGCTCACTGTATTAGACTTTCTTCATTTGCATCGACGGGTATAAAGACGACAAACTGCTGCACGAGGAGAGAGAGACGAGGAAAGGGAAACTGTGTTTGTACGTTTCAACGTCTTTTCTGTTTGTTTCAGAAGTCCGGCGGCCACTCTCTCAGTCCAGAAGATGAACATGTCTGCAGAAAAAGTTGTTTCTGTTGATTTCTGTTTTAACAACTTTATTTTCAACCAAACTGTAAATATAAAAATGTTGTGTTTATTTAAAAAAATAAAACGAGCCACTGAGAAGTAATGCTGATGTTGTTCTCATTTTATCTGAATATAAATCTTTCTCTCTTCTCCCTTGATCGTCCCCTTTATCTCCCAGATCTCACTTTATTATCAAACCTAAACAAAGATTCTCAAAGTGCAAATTAAAGGAAAAGTTCAATGACAGTTTTCTGTCTCATGTCTGCACATCACCGCTTGTTTTATCCACATTCAGTCATTTTACATTTCTAGTCTGTTTGTTCAGACGTATATTTACCCGACCACAGGAGAGCTCTGATAAAGTTTGCTGTTGAAAGTGTTTCCTATCAAGTAGAAATTGTTTGGTCATTAATAGTTCACATACAAAATACACTTTACCACATTGACCATGATGGTACAAGTTTCAGGTAAGAAAAGCTTCAGCTTTATTTATCGTCTGTCTTTAACTGAGTTTTCAGTAATGTGCGCAGGGCTTTAAATTGACTTTTTTCATCACCAGCCAACATGGCTAGTAGATTTTTAAAGTTACCAGCCAACCAGATTTCCTACCAGCCAAATTTGCCCAATCTGGCAACACTGACGTGTCGCATCATTTCTGCAGCCTGCCGATTCAAACAGATTCAGTGATATTTGATTCATTCATCACCAGCCAAAATGGTTAGTAACTCTACAATGTTATCTGCCAAAGGTCATTTTTACCCCCAATTGGCCGGTTGGCGGGTGCCCTGAACGTGCATGAAGAAAAAGGGAACATGGGAAACATTTACAGCGCGTGCACAATTACTAGACAACAGAGTATTTTGGCCTCATCATGACTTCAGTGAACACTTTCTGACTGTAAATATAAACTTGTATTCCTATTGGATGAAATCATCTTTAGATGATGTGAATTTTTGTTACGAGGGAGCTTGTGGTCTAAATAATCCAAAGCGAAGGTTAGAAACTACACTGTGACACACACACACGAGCCCAGCTGATTACCTGTAAATGGAGGAGGGAGGGGCAACACGTGATCCAGACTCATGAGAGGAGGCGGGACACTGAAAGTAAACGTGTTCAGTCAGTTCAGACAATTTGTTTCGACAGAACAGAGCAGAGAACTAAAGTGTGAAGTGGGGTGAGTGTATCCACAGTTTTTATATTTTGGCTTCTGTAGTCTCAGTTTTCTCCTGTGAACTAATGTGGATTTCCTTGTTGTTGATATGTTTGATGATGAAGAAATTCGCCGTTGAGACTGACCTGCTTTCAAAGAGTAAAATGTTATTTAAGCAAGAAACAGAGTCACTGGTGTGTGGTGTGTGTGTGTGTGTGTTGTGTGTGTGTGTGTGTGTGTGTGAGCAGAGAACTAAAGTGTGAAGTGGGGTGAGTGTATCCACAGTTTTTATATTTTGGCTTCTGTAGTCTCAGTTTTCTCCTGTGAACTAATGTGGATTTCCTTGTTGTTGATATGTTTGATGATGAAGAAATTCGCCGTTGAGACTGACCTGCTTTCAAAGAGTAAAATGTTATTTAAGCAAGAAACAGAGTCAACGCGGAACTGTTTTCTTGTGTTTGATCTCACAGTGAGTGTTTCTGTTTTTCCTCTTAGACTGACTTCAGATCAGAACATGGATGTGTGTTTAGCAGAGAACTAAAGTGTGAAGTGGGGTGAGTGTATCCACAGTTTTTATATTTTGGCTTCTGTAGTGTGTGTGTGTGTGTGTGTGTGTGTGTGTGTGTTTGGGGCGCGCGCGCGGAACTTTTCTTGTGTTTGATCTCACAGTGAGTGTTTCTGTTTTTCCTCTTAGACTGACTTCAGATCAGAACATGGATGTGTGTTTAGAGGAAGAGGAGGAGGGAGCAGAGTTTCCTGTACCAAGCTGTGTGTCTCTGAAGAGTGATCTGTCCAAAGATGAACCTCCATTTTTCAGTAATGAACCTGGACCCTCAGACACAAAGTAAGTTTTCTTACTAACTCAAACCCTTTTCAGCCGCATTTTTCACTCTGAGTTTATCCAGCCAGACCCCTAGTATTTTATCCGCAGAAAATCCGAGTGAGCTGATGTCTGAACGCGGCAGCATATACTCCGGATATTTTCAATTCGAGCCAATGGGACCCGGGTGACGTTTATATAGTGACCGGCTAAAGTGTCTGCCCGCGATCACTACTATCTCCGTGCACGTAATTAAACGGCTGCATTATGTTTTCTGTTTGTCAGTATGTTGTTCTCCACTCTTTTGTGAATGTTGTCATTCCATTGGACTACACATAGCATTGATATAAAGGAAAATATTCTCATTATAGCGTCGTGTAGCGGACTCTGTTGCTTCAGCCGCTACTTCCGCGTTGTTTATTTACATCACGTCTTACGTCGGGAAATCCCCCACAGCCCCTCCCCTCTGACAGGGATAGTCGGCTGTGGTATCTAAAGAGGTATTCATGTGATGGAAACATAACAAAACGTTTCTTGTTGCAGATTTGAGTGGAGCAGACAGAGAGCAGAGTTTCCTGTACCCAGCTGTCTGTCTCTGAAGAGTGATCTGTCCAAAGATGAACCTCCATTTTTCAGTGATGAACCTGGACCCTCAGACACAAAGTAAGTCTTCTTACTAACTCATTGTCACTTCAGATGTTTCCTTGAAGGGTCAGTCAGTTACCTTATAAAGATGTAATCTAATCTAAAACCCTTTTCACACATACGGAAATCTCCTGAAAAACTCTGGAGATTAGTCTACCCGGTTATAACGCTGTTACGCTAAACACATATAGGACGCAGCGGTCCGAAACGTGTACAAGAGTTTTAAACAGGTAAAACTCGGAACGCGGCAGTCCAACAAAGAGGAAAATTACAATTTTCACATCAATCAATCAATTGTAAAAAAAACACTCTCTAAAGCTAATTCTGCCCAGACCTAATTCAGCTTCACTTGTGAATCGCTTTGCCCACGATTAGTGAAGGGAAAAAGAGACCGGCGATGTAACAGATCTTCTGTCGTTCTGGTGCAGAGGCGTCTGATGGCGGCGAGGGTCCCTTACGGCAAGAGCGGCTTTGATGTGTTCTCCGTCGAGTGGAAAGATGTCCGTTGATGTCCTTTCGTTGCAGGACGGAATGAAACCGCTATCTTTCTGATAATCTGTTATAGTCTGACGCTCTCCGAGAAACTGAGATGCGTTCACTGGACAATCTGAGCTCAGAATTCAGAACACTGCTGGCCGCGGATTACCTGCAAAGAGATTTTCTTGCAGAAAACATGAGTTGAGCTTGTGTCTCCGAACACTTGAAGTCAGCGCGCTGAAAGAGATAGAGCAATGGAAGTCTTGGAGTTTTGTAGTCCTGGCCTACTTCCTGGGGGGTCTACCTCAGGTCCCCTCCAATGAGAAGAGAGAGGTTCCGGTCCCCCCCTTTCTTCAAACGTAGGTGTGAAGTATTGCAGGGGATTCTGGGATTAAGAGTCCTTTAGGTCTCTTTGTGATCTCAGTGAATAACTCAAATGTGGCCTCTCACAGAGATGCAGGCCCAAGTCCATTGTTTGCCTGTCTTAAGCCTGCATGGCCCAACAACAGCAAACACATCATTCCAGAATCAAAAGACAAGTAGAATATTACAGCTTACCATTCAATGACAGTATTTTTTTTAGATAACGTTACTCCATGAAAACATACCTGTTGCGTTCTGACTGTAAGACTCTGGCAGGGTTGTAGGTTGCATTTGTTGCTGGAGATGATACTTTTTAGAAAGCTGGAATAAAGTTCGAAGTCATTATGCTAGTTTGATACAACTGTGCAGAGTATGTACAGTCACGTTAGTTTCAACATATGAGAAACTTTGCATACGCGCTGTTCAGATAAGCCGGAGCTATCGTAACCTGAACCCGGGACAATATGCTGTCTATATTATCATGCTACGGGCTAAACTTCGCGCTATTTTCGTGTTAACTAATTAATGAATTATCGCCGACAGTTATTTTATCTCGCATTAACGCAGTTTTTATTATTTATTTTCTTATTGTAAAAGTCTGTTGCTCACTGGCTTTTATTTTGTAAAATTCCATCGTGAGCGAGCCTAGTATGTTGCTTACTGCTGCAGCGCTCACAGGAAAGAGGAAACAGTCAGAAAAGAATTGTCGGATAATCAAGCATGGAGAAGGGTACGGAACTTTTGCATGGCCATTTCCATTTTAAAGTTCTTCCAGACGGCGCAGTCGACAGAGCCAAAATTATTTGTAACCACTGCAAAGTTGAATTTTCTTATCACCGGAGTACTTCCAGTCTGAAATACCACCTAAATGCAATACACTCAGTTGATACCAGCAAATCATTCAACGAAACAAACAGTGGAGCGAGGCTTCGGCAGACTACGTTAGATGCAGCGTGTGGGAGAAGTATAGATAAACAAAGACAAGAGAAGCTAACAAATGCTATAGCGAAGTGGATAGCTAAAGCCTGCAGGCCGATTAGTGTTGTGGAAGGTGACGGTCTGAGAAACGTTCTCAGAATCGCAACAAATGATGGCAGGTATGAGATTCTCTCAAGACGCACCATCACAAGAAGAATACACGAGTTGTATGAAAAGGAGAGGACTGCAAAAGAGACAACTTTACAACGTGCACCCTCTGTTGCTCTCACTGGGGACCACTGGATATCACTGGGTAACCATAATTACCTCGGAGTTACAGTGCATTTTATTGATGAACAGTGGGAGCTGCATTCACATGCTCTAACAGTAATGAAAACAGAGGAGGGACATTTTGCTGAAACGTGCGCGGAACACTTTATGCAAGTTGCACAGCAGTGGAATGTGTCAAATAAAGTCACCACACTTAGCACAGATAGTGCAAGAAACATGATCGCTGCTGCGAGACATCTGCCTTTTGAACATGTCCCCTGCTTCGCGCACAGTCTCCAGCGTTCTGTCACAGTATCTCTGCATAACAGTGCGTTTGACAATGTCCTGGCCAAGTGCAGAAAAGTTGTGAGGCACTTTAAACACAGTCCAGCAAATGCTGCAGAATTAGAGCAAAAACAAGTTGAACATGGACAAAAGAAGGAGTCGCTTGTGCAAGATGTTCCAACCAGATGGAATTCAACTCTGGGCGTGATAAAAGGCATCCACAGAAACAAACAGCCACTGAGGGATGTCCTCACTACACACACCAAGATTGCCATGCCAACTACAGCCGAAATGGATAAACTGCAGAGGTTGGAAACGCTACTGGAGCCTTGCAGGTATGTTTTACATCATATTTCTCACTATCCTGTCTGAGTGCATGTAAGAGAGAAATAGTGTGTATATGTTTGTGTGAAATATGTAAATGCAGCATGAATATGTAGAGGATGTTTTTGTGTATAAGTAAATTATATTTATTTTGACTCAAGTGGAGTTTATTTTCTGTTGCAGGTATGTGACAGAACTTTTGGGAGGAGAAAAGTATTTCTCATGCTCTGTGGCTCTACCTGCTTTTTGCCATCTCTCTCGGGTGATGGAGAGCTCAGATGATGACCCTGCCTATGTGACCAAGTTCAAGTCTACATTCAGAAAAGACCTGGAGACACGCAAGGAAAATGCCAACATTGCATATCTGAAGATTGCTACTGCATTGGACCCTAGATTCAAGGACCTCAAGTGTACACCCAGAGCTGAGAGGAGTGAGGTGTGGGCCTTAGTCACCAACTTAGTTAAGGAACAGATGGTTGTTGCAGAGAAACCTGTGGAAGAAAAAACATCAGAGCCACCAAAGAAAAAGTTAACCCTATTGGCTGATTCATCTGAGTCTGATTCTGAACAGGAAGACGACTTAATTGAGAACATCGATACAGAGCAGAGCCACCATCAGTTCAGAGTCCTGTCCATTAGAGTGGTGGTCCAAACATGCAGACTCACACAGCAGGCTGGCCTCCTATGCACTCCTAAGTACTTAGCTACACCTTCAACACCCGTACCCTGTGAAAGGTTGTTTTCTCTTGCTGGTCATATTGTACAGAAGAAGAGAGCTTCTTTATCATCTGAAAATGTAAATAATCTTGTATGTCTTAGCAACTGGCTTCGTGCAGAGGAGTAAAAAAGTCAAGTTCTAGAAATTGAGAAGCTGCACTGAAAGTGTTTTCTGGTTCTTTTTTGATTGAGATTCTAATTTTTTTATAACAAACAGGATAACATTAATGCCCTGGCAGTGGCAATAAGCTTTAGTTTTGTATTTGCTTTGTTTTCATTGTTTAAGTTGGGGATTTACACTAAATACTTTATTTAACTGCTACTGTTTGCACAGCAAATGTTATGTTATCGTTCATGGCAGTGCATTTAAAATAAAAATGCACTATATACTACTTTTGAATTTATTAAGTCAAATTCTAGGAATTGACAAACTGCACTGTTTTCTGGTTCTTTTTTTGAGTAAGATTCTCCAAAGGAAATCTAGTATAAATATGGACTTTACAGACTAGTCCCCTGCACAGTAAATCCCTGTAGTGAACTTTTGTTGTGCTTCACCTCACTCTAACAGGGACATTTGGTACTGAACATAGATTGGTTATGCTGCTCCCTGGTAAATAAAAAAATGTTTCTGCTGTTACCTCAGAAATTGCCTGTTTTAATGTTATGATTGTGGCTCAGGATTTTCTGGGCAGTTTTTTTTAAATATAACAAACAGGATGACATTATGCCCTTGCAGTGGCAATAAGCTTTAGTTTTGTATTTATTTGCTTTGATTATATTGTTTAAGTTGAGAAATACATTTACAATAAAAGTGCGCTATACACTACTTTTGAATTCATTATTGGATTTTGCGTATAACAATGCGATTAATCACAGGAACTCATGCGATTAACGTGGTTAAAACTTTTAATCGTTGCCCAGCCCTAATTTATATATATATATATTGTATATAAATATTGATCAAATCGAGGGAATGACATTTCTGCTGCTAAAAATGTTCTGGGTGTTTGCATCAATCAGTGTGAGTGCAGGCCAGCGGGGGAATAAGGAGGGGGAGCAGTCGTTGGGGCAACTGGGCCTAGTGTGAGTACGCCCTGATACTGCTGATCCACCACAATGTAATTCACAATGTTTCACCATGTCTAACCTCAGTTCAAAGGTCAACTGACCCGAGCTCAGCTGTCTGAAGTGACAGTGAAACAGTCGATGACAGGATCAGACTCTTTGATTCTTTGACTGTGAAGAAGCTGCACATGGTGTTCAGTCTGACTGAATAAAAAACTGCAGACGGATCATTAATGTTTCAAAAGACAGTAAGAGAAACATTTTTGTTCTTTAGTCTTTATGAAAGCAGGAGGATTAAAACACAAGAAACAATCATCTCACTGCAGACTATGAGCTGATTACAAACATAAGAAAGAAGGCGTTACCTGCTCTCTGTGATCATCTGAGTGTTTAGATCGTGTTTGATAAATCTTAATATTTTTTATCAGTCAATGATCAGTTTAGTTCTAAAGACATGTCTTCACAGGGGGACAAAGAGTACTCATGTTATAGAGGAGAAGCCATCCTGTCCTGTGTGTCAGGACGTCCTGAAGGATCCTGTCTCTACCAGCTGTGGACACTGGTTCTGCAGACAATGCATCACCTCATACTGGGACCAGTCTGGTTCACCAGGAGACTTGTCCTGTCCTCAATGTGGAGAAAGATCCAGAACAGGACCTGGACTGCAGCCAGACAGTCAAAGCAGCACTGAACAAAGTAAGACTGTACACCTTTCTGCTTCTGTGATCTCCTCCTAAAACATGACTTTTATTGGTAAATGTAAAAAGTATAGAAATTAAAACTCTTGTTTAAACTACTTCTTTTACAATAGCATTTGAAAATAATAAGCAGATTCTATCATGCTCTCTTTCAGTAGATAGAGGTCTGCAGGAGATTTTAGATGAACATAAGGTCAGTCTGAGGACGAGATGTGAACATGTGACTGAATTAAGTGATGAAACAGGAAGTAGAACCCTCCTCAACAGGATCTACACTGAGCTCTACATCACAGAGGGACAGAGTGAAGAGGTGAACACCCAACATGAGGTGACACAGATTGAGACAGACTCTAAAAAGAAGACCCTCCATGAGACTCCAATCAAGTGCCGGGACATCTTTAAAGCCTTACCCGACCAACAGAAACACGAGACAGGAGCTCAACCCGACCAACAGAAACCAAAGACAGAAGCTCAATCCGACCAACAGAAACCCATCAGAGTGGTTCTGACCAACGGCGTTGCTGGTGTTGGAAAAACTTTCACAGTGCAGAAGTTCACCCTGGACTGGGCAGAGGGCTCAGAGAACCAAGACGTCAGTCTGGTGATCCTGCTTCCATTCAGGGAGCTGAACTTGATCAGAGATCAGCGGTACAGTCTTCTTGAGCTGCTCCATGTTTTCCATCCAACATTACAGAAGGTCGCAGCAGAGACGCTCGCTGTCTGTAAACTGTTGTTCATCTTTGACGGCCTGGATGAAAGCAGACTGTCATTGGACTTCAAAAACTGGGAGGTTATGTCTGATGTCACACAGAAGTCATCTTTAAACACACTTTTCACAAACCTCATCAAGGGGAATCTGCTTCCCTCAGCTTTCATCTGGATAACTTCTCGACCTGCAGCAGCCAATCAGATCCCTCCTTCATGTGTTGACAGGGTAACAGAAGTACAAGGCTTCACTGACGCCCAGAAGGAGGAGTACTTTAGGAGGAGGTTCAGTGATGATAAAGATCTGTCCAACAAAATCATCTCACACATCAAGACATCCAGGAGCCTCCACATCATGTGTCTGATCCCGGTCTTCTGCTGGATCACTGCGAGAGTTCTGGAGCACATGATGAGCACAGAGCAGAGAGGAGAGCTTCCCAAGACCCTGACTGACATGTACTCATACTTCCTGCTGGTTCAAACAAAGAGGAAGAAACACAAGTATGATGAGGGACATCAGATGAGTCCACATGAGCTGATGGAGGCCAACAGGGAAGTTCTTCTGAAGCTGGGGAGGCTGGCGTTTGAACATCTGGAGGACGGAAACATCATGTTCTACCAAGAAGACCTGGAGCGGTGTGGTCTGGATATCACAGAGGCCTCAGTGTACTCAGGAGTTTGTACAGAGATCTTCAAAACAGAGTGTGGGATCTTCCAGAAAACAGTCTACTGCTTTATTCATCTGAGCGTTCAGGAGTTTCTGGCTGCAGTCTACATGTTCCACTGTTTCACCGACAGGAACACAACAGTTCTGAAGGCTTTTCTGGGAGTAAGATTTATAGATTTAACTCTTGATGTTCTCCTAAATGGAGCAATGATGACATCCATGAGGAGTAAAAAAGGTCACCTGGACCTGTTTGTTCGCTTCCTTCATGGTCTTTCTCTGGAGTCAAACCAGACAATCTTAGGAGGCCTGCTGGGTCAGACAGACAACAGTCCAGAAATGATCCAAAGAGTCATTAACAACCTGAAGGAGATGAACAGTTATATCTCACCAGACAGAGGCATCAACATCTTCCACTGTCTGACGGAGATAAACGACCTCTCAGTCCATCAGGAGATCCAAAAGTTCCTGAAGTCAGAGAACAGATCAGGGATGAAACTCCCTGAGATCCACTGCTCTGCTCTGGCCTACATTCTGCAGATGTCCGAGGAGGTTCTGGATGAGTTGGACCTGAAGAAGTACAACACAACAGACCAGGGACGATGGAAACTGATTCCAGCTGTGAGGAACTGCAGGAAGGCTAAGTAAGTCCAGATGTGATGAGCATTATAAATCAGTGTCATGTACTATTTCAATTATTTTGATAGAAACTAAACAAAATCCTTACTGTTCATCAAAAAGTGTTCCTGTGTTAATGTTCATGGGAAATAGTCAGTAGTAGTTTTTTTCACAAATTATGTCTTTTAGATTTTTGTCCTGAGTTCAAAAATTGCTTTGATGGTTTCTTTTGTGAGGACATTCAGGAGGAAATTCCCAAAGAAGTGACTGAGATGGCTGATAGTGTTAATCCCTGAAAAGGGAGATATCAGATGCTTTGAGTGCCCCCTTCCGGCCTCTGCAGGCATTACAAATCAATCATCATATCTTAAAATCTCAGCAGGTAGATCACAGACAAACTGTTCTGGCAGGAGATCCTTAACCTCACTACATTTTATTCTTTGCTGACATGTTTGATTTCTGGATCATTAGGCAGCAGTCACTGTATTTTCCTGTTTATAGAAGTGAGCCAGGCGGCACGAGAATGAGATCCTCCTCTTCCAGAGTTACTGTTCAATGAGTTTCAAATGGTTTTCTAATCCAGGGAGAGTCCTTTGAATAGATCACACTTTACATCACAGACTATAGATATGTCATCTTAAATAAAACTACATTTGTTTCCATTCATCTGTAACATTTAGTAAACGAGTGATGAGACTTTTTGTGTCAGTGACAGATTCCACTGATGTGTAAAGTTTAGACCAAACAGGACCTGTCAAACTTTAATTATCAAATGTGAGATGTAAATATCAAACACTTCTTAGTAATATTTCTCTATTATATGTTTCACAACAGACTTTCTGGCTGTGGACTCTCAGAGACTCACTGTGACATTGTGGCCTCAGCTCTGAAGTCCAACCCCTCCCATCTCAGAGAGCTGAACCTGAGCTACAACGACGACCTGCAGGATTCAGGATTGAAGCTGCTGTGTGAGGGACTGCAGAGTCCAAACTGCAGACTGGAGTCTCTGAGGTCAGATCACTGACTGTAACATATATATATGAATATAATAGAAACTGTATTGACTGTGTTTGAATTTAACCCATTCTTGAGAATTGTGAAAAATCATGTCCCAGGCAAACAAACTTAAAAATACCACTTACAAAGGCACTTATTCCCTTTTTTTTTAAAAATGAAAATCTACTTTAAAACAAATTTGAAATATCAAATTTGAAATATTCAAATTCAAATTTGAAATATTCAATGTCTAAACCCGCCCTATGCCAGAAATCAATTTAAAACTTCAAACTATTTTAAAATGTTTCAAACTCTTAAAACTACAAAACCTACTGATACTAAAGGCGTAAAAAATACTATTATAGTCATCTACACTTTAAAATGTAGTTCCATGAACATTTTGACCCATTAAGGTTGTGTCCCAGATTTTTGTCTACTCCATTAGACTTTTTACAACCCAAGTTGTGTCCCAAAATTTTGTGAACTCTGTCAGACTTTTACAAAAACATAAAATAATCAGGCATAAAAAGAGGTGAGCTACAACATAAAGGACCCCGTCTTATTCCTTGTTTTAAAAGAGGGGGATGCTGTTCAAGCATCGTTCACATTTAATTTTTTGAGAAATTGATGAAATGATTTTACTATCAGGTGTGTCTCAACCATAACAGGTCAACTCCATCTCCCTTTCAAATCAGAACTCAATCAGGTTGATGGTTTATTAATCTGTGTTTTGGTGACATTGAGGGAACTCTAAGCAGCTTTACAAACTGAAATGGAAACCCTCCACAGACGACCTGTGACATGAAAATATCAAACATTTTGTCAACTGCGTCAGATATTCCATCTGACAGGTGGGTTGGGGTTTTATCTAGTCAACTTTGGTTATATTCTTTAATAATTATATTTAATTATTATTAATATGAATAACAATATCATTAAACTATGTTTAATCAACTCGGGGGACCACCCTGAAATCAGGGGAATATAACCAAAATATCACTAAAATCAGTCTCAAATTAGTTACTTAATTACTAATATTATTAATAATTAATAACCAGGGGTGCAAACTTGTCACCTTTCGGCGAAATTCGCCGTTTTGGATCCCAAATAAGTCATTTGTGTGATTCATTTAGATCTGCAATAAAAATATTTGGAGGGGGTGGGGGGGGCGTCTATGACGCGAGCTGTCATGCTTCTTGCGGCCGGCGAGCACGGTCCCTGCAAACGTCAAGTCGTTTCATACTGATTGCGGTCAGAGCGGTCTGATTGCTCAACACGGCACGAAGAAAGTACTTCCGGCCCCTGTAGCCAATCATTGCAACGCTGTCGGCACTGTTACAAAATCTTGGAGGTGCGCGGCTGGGCGCTCAGATCCTCCGCGGACCATTCTCGTGCCAACGGCGATTGCGCAATATTGCCGTGCCGACCGCAAGCAGCATGAAACCTGATTCAATGAGTCGCAATGTGCAGCACATGGCTAATTTACATAATGTTATTTTTCAGTGAAAACACTGTGGAAAGAGTCGAAGTTTGGCTAGCAAGCCAGCCTTTCTGTTAAACATGCTGTCTGATCATATTTACCGTTTGGTAGCCATACAGCTTTCTGGTTCATTATTATCTCAGGCAACATTAAAGTGACAGCGGGTCAACAAATGTAATAAGAGAGGGAATATAAACTTAATGAAAATCAGCAGGAGCAAAACATCAGGTTAATATATTGATAATGTTACATATATATGATAGAAAAGATGGGAAAATATTGCCATACTTGATGACTGTATTATGATGTTCTCTCAGACTCTGCCCTGAGGGCTACTTGCATAGTGACTGCCCTTCACGTCACCCCTTAGTAGAACATGGTAAGCCCTGTTCTGCAAATTCATCCCATTTATAAAAAGGGACTGAAGGTTGGGAGAATGGGTTTTTCATGTTTCACTGAAGCTTTATCAAAAAGTTAGAACAGAACACAGATATAGACAAGCAATTGTGTTTTTCTTATTGTTTGCACTGCTTCTTTAGTCTGAATGCTAAAATCGTCTGTAAATTCACATTTTAAAGCTGATATATATATTTTTTAAATCTTCCCGGGGGAGCATGCCCCCGGACCCCACTAGGTGGTTTGGATCCATGTCACCTTTTCATCCCTGATCAGTTTGCACCCCTGAATAACTATATTTAATAAAAGGAAGGCGTGAAATGCGTACACAAAGCCCTCGCACCCAGCTTATATCACAATGCAAATACACCAGTAATCACAAACAACTGCTCTCTTAAATTATAACAGAATTTATTTAAACAAAGCAACATCAATCCAAAATCAATGAACTTAATAAAACAAATAACTAATCTAAGCAGACAAACATTATCAAGCAAAACTTGTGAATGAGGTTCAAAAATGTAGTTGTGTGGATGAGAGAGACAATGCACCATGCGGCTTCGTCACGTGTGGACAAAATGGTAGACAACAAAGGAAGCCGTTTGGCTGCCTTTTGAAATAGTTTGAGCTCTCTGAGCTGAGTTCAGTAACTGCTACTTAAACACCAGAAAGCCAGTGGCCGGACACTGGTCTTTCTGATTGTGAAAGCCGTTGACTGAAGGTAAACTAGCATAGCATTACACACATAGGCGAACACAGCGGTTCATCACAATAAAACAAATGCAGCAGCTTACAACAGATAATAAACAGAATGTGACGTCTTGTCAACAATGATGCACAATTATCAGTGGTTATAAAAGAAACATAGCTATTTCTGAAACTATTTCTGCCCAGACCAAAGCTCTTACTTGGGGTAACTCCTGGTGATCATTGCAAAGTTGGTTAGATCGTCACTCTGTTGAATATTAAATCAACAGACTCAGGCAGGTTTCCTTCGTGGCAGATGTAGGAGGAGGGTGGCAGGATTCAGATAAACATGTCCCAGTACAACTCTAAAATGACGTATTTCTCTGGCTTTGATAACTGTTGGAAATATTTGATATCATGCAAGTACTCAACAATAAAAATATAACATGGGTTTAGTCCTTTTTAAATTGATTTAAATATTTTAATGTGGACAACATCCCACATTCATGCATAAAGCTCACTGTCATCTACATTTTTTATTTTTTATTCAGATTGATTCTCTGCAGTTTGTCAGAGATCAGCTGTTCTTCTCTGGCCTCAGCTCTGAAGTCCAACCCCTCCTATCTCAGAGAGCTGGACCTGAGTGAGAACTACGACCTGCAGGATTCAGGATTGAAGCTGCTGTGTGATTATCTGCAGAGTCCAAACTGCAGACTGGAGACTCTGAGGTCAGCTCACTGACTGTAATATATATATGAATATAATAGAAACTGTATTGACTGTGTTTGAATTTAACCCATTCTTCCAGGCAAACAAACTTAAAAATACCACTTAAAATAGGCACTTATTCCTTTTTTTTTTTTTTTTTTTTTTTTAAATGAAAATCTATTTTAAAATGTTTTTATTATGAAACAAATGAACAAAATCCTGGACCTCCTGTGTGCCAACGTGAGAGGAGAATACAGCTCTTCTTCTCTCCCCCCTCTGGGGGAATCAGACCACAACCTGATCCACCTTGAGACCACCTACAGGCCCCTGGTGAAGCAGCAGGTGGCCAGCACAAGGACCTTGAAGGTTTGGTCTAAGGACACAGACGGGGCCCTGCAGGAGTGCTTTAATGTCACAGACTGGGAACTGTTTAAGGAGGATTATGGTGATGACATTGAAGGTTTCTCTCATTGTATTACAGACTACATCCGCTTATGTGAGGCCATAGTCCCTACCAAAAAGGACATTAAAACTCTCCTTAACAGCAAGAAGAGGGCATTCATTCGGGAGGAACTCAGGGCTGTCCAAAAGGAGTTAAAGAGGAAGCTGAGAGAGGCCAAGAACAACTATAAGGAAAAGATTGAGGCCAAAATGGGACAGAACAACACAAAAGGGGTGTGGAACGGCATGAAGCAGATGACGGGCTGCAGCAGGCCTGAACCCAGAATTCAAGGAGACCCAGTATTTGCAGATGAGTTGAACCTATTTTTCAATAGGTTTGACACAACCCCCGACCCAGTGAGCTCAAATAGTGGGTCTAGGTCTCCCCTCACCACCTCAGCCCCCATTCCCACTTCTGCTGAAGTTTCTGCTCTTCCTCCCATCAAGGTTCTTACTTCCTCCCCCCCCTCTCTCAGCTCCTCACCAGCAGCTTCAAAGGACAGCCCCCCCCTCACCCCCCCAGCTCCCTCCCTTCAGGTACCTGCATGACAATAGACAGTTCCCCACATCCATCCCCCATTCAATTTCCCACTTTCACTCTTACTACCAGCCAGGTACAAAAAGAACTCTCCAGATTCCACATCAGAAAAGCCAATGGACCAGACCACATCAGTCCCAGGATCCTCAAGGTGTGTGCTGGGCAGCTTGCAGGAGTCTTTCAGAACCTATTCAACCTCTCACTAAGGCTGATGAAGGGGCCTGACCTGTGGAAGACATCCTGCATCATCTCAGTTCCAAAGAAAGGTCGTCCCAGGGCTCTCAATGACTACAGACCTGTGGCACTCACGTCATATGTCATGAACACATTTGAGAGGCTGGTTCTCCAGCACCTGATGACCCTGCTCACTGCTTTCCAGGACCCACTGCAGTTTGCATATCAGAAGCACATTGGTGTGGAGGATGCAGTCATCTTCCTCACACACAAAGCCCTGTCACACCTGGATAAGCAGGGAAGCACTGTGAGAGTCATGTTCTTTGATTTTTTTGTGCTTTCAATACCATCCAGCCCTGCCTCCTGAGGGACAAGCTTCTGGATATGCAGCTGCACCCTGACACCACAGCGTGGATCTTTAACTACCTCTCTGGCCAGCCACAGTACGTCACAGTGGACGTCTGTGTCTCTGATGTGGTGACAGGCAACTCTGGTGTACCCCAAGGAACAGTCCTGGCGCCATTCCTCTTCACCCTCTACACCTCAGATTTAAATCTGGTTCCTGCCACCTTCAAAAGTTTTCAGACGACTCCTCGATTGTTGGGTGCATCACTGATGACGACAAGAAGGAGTACAGAGGGCTGTTAGAGAGCTTCGTCACATGGTGCGAAAGCAACCCACTGAAGCTCAACATCAGCAAAACAAAGGAGATGGTAGTAGACTACCAGAGGAAGACGAGGCCCCCTGTCATCATCCAGGGGGAGGAAGTGGAGAGGGCGGACTCATACAAGTACCTTGGGGTCCACATCAACAATAAACTGGACTGGTCTCAACTCTGACGCCATCTTCAGGAAAGGACAGGGCACGGTGAGGAGACTCAGAATGTTCAGTGTCTGCAACACACTCCTGAAGACCTTCTACCAGTCTGTGGTGGCCAGCATACTCTTATTTGCTGTAGTGTGCTGGTGGGGTGGCATTAAAACTGGTGAGGCAAACAGGCTGAACAAGCTGATGAGGAAGGCCCGCTCTATAGTTGATCTTGATCTGGACACTTTGGAGACAGTGGCTGAGAGGAGGATAAAGGACAAAATCATATCCATCCTGGATAACTCCTCTCACCCTCTCCATGACAAGCTGTAGCAGATGGGCAGCTACTTCAGCCAACGCCTCTTTTCTGTTCGTCAGTATGTTGTTCTCCTCTCTTTTGTGAATGTTGTCATTCCATTGGATTACACATAGCATTAATATAAAGGCAAATATTGTCATTATAACGTTGTGTAGCGGACTCTGTTGCTACGGCCGCTACTTCCGCGTTTTTTATTTACGTCACGTCTTACTTCGGGAAATCCCCCCGATCCCCCTCCCCTCTGACAGGGAAAGTCCCCCGCTGTGAGGAGGATATGTGAACGGCTAATTAGGGAGAATCTCTGGAGAAGTCCTCCTGTAAATATCTAGATATTATCCGGAGTGCATATGTGAAAACGGCTTATGACAACAATAACAGTCCTTCCTGACACAAATTTCACCCCCATAAACACTACCCCCATGACAGGCTCATTATTTACATTGTATTATTATAATATACTGTATTATTAATATTTAGCATCAATACTGTTTATTCTTATAATATTATATTAGTCTTTATTATATATCATATTACATTTAATTATATCACACTGTATTGTATTATATTGTACTATATTATATTATACTACATTATATGCAGCTTACAATCACACAAACACATAGAGCTCTAAACCCCCCCTCCCCCTCTTGAGTTATTTGAAATGAAAGTGATAGACACACAAAAACTGGGTGTTTTAATTTGTATTCTATCATTAACATTTACTCATTTTAAATCCAACTGACATCCTTCTTTCACGTGTGTAAGACGGTGAGAACCTGAACCTAAGAATCTGAACCTCAGTGATGAGTTGGTGCACGTCACGTCTTTATATTACTGCTCATGTTTGATGAGTGAATATAGCGCCGTAGAGACCTTGCTTTGTGTGCTCCATATGAAGTATTAGAGAATTAAAGTGCCGTGTGGAAATCCCCACTCTGTTGTCTGTCAGCTATCTGATGCTAACCAGCTATCCCGGGACTTCTGCTAATAGCTACCTGCTGCTAGCTTCTCCACCTGCACCAGCCACGTTACAAAATTATGTCAGTGCTGATGTAACTGGTCCAGAGTGAACTCCATCAGCTGGGTGGTGTGGTTAGCATTTGTTGGGGTTTTATCTAGTCAACTTTGGTTATATTCTTTAATAATTATATTTAATTATTATTAATATAAATAACAATATCATTAAACTATGTTTCATCAACTCGGGGTACCACCCTGAAGTCAGGGAAATATAACCAAAATATCACTAAAATCATTCTCTAATTAGGTACTTAATTACTAATATTATTAATAATTAAAACCGCAAGCAGTGATGAAGGGCTTCATAATTCATATGATACCAATGTTGTCGCACTAGTAGCAAAACTGAGTCCGCTGCCCAAAAAACAATATTTTGAACGTCAGGTGAGACTAATGATAATGCAGTGTAAGAAAAAGTCAGAACTGAGAAGAACTATTACAGTCTCATTTTAAAGCCATGCTGACAAGTGTGGTAGAATCTAATTCAGATTTATTGTATGTTTACAGCTCATTAATGCCAGTAGAATTTTTAATTCAATAAGATCACTTAAGACAATAAAAGCCTTTAGAACATTAACTATAGCAAGTTAATAAGTAAAATAATGCTGCTGGAAACGCTTCAAATGTCTGAAGGTGCAAATATTACAAAGTTAAAATTATTTTTAAACTATGAGGAAATATTACAGTGATTATTTATCTTCCATTTTGGGTGTAAAACAAAGCATAGTTGTTCAAAGTTTTTATGGGTCATTTGTGTGATGGAGGTGCGGTTATAGAAATTTTTCGGGTTAGTTTGGGCCGTGGTAGGGGCCCAATGTGATATCTTTTCATGGGGCCCGAAATTCCTGGTGGCACCCCTGGCCACGCCCTTTGACAAAATAACGTGCAGAGCACAACGGGATATGTTGAACATGTCTAGAACACACTGACTTTCCGTCGAACGGATGAACGCTTTCGGACTAGCTTTATTTTTCGCTTCTGCCAGTCTTTAATTTTATACATATGTTTATGTATTTCAGCTTTACTTAAACTGTATTTCCATTTTCTTTTCTTTCTTCAAAAACAAGATTTCATCCATATTTCAACACAATATGCCCAGAAAAATACATAAACTTATACTTGTCAATAATTACATGCAAAAATTCTCAAAACTACAAAATAAACATTTGTGTGTTATTATTCTTTTCACAAATATAAAATAATGTGGTTCTGCTACTTGCAATCAATGCAATAGAGTTGCAAATAGGTTTCCAGTTTAACTGAATAAAAGGAGATCAATCCTCGATTAGCATTATGCTAACGAATAACATGGGAAATCCCATAGAGCTGGCGAAGCTAGCAGAGTTAGTGCTACACTTTTCAGACATAGGAGTGGCACCCATATGTGAACGAGGCGATGAGCTAAGCTAGCGCTCATGAGCATCATAGCTTTAGTACCTTAAAACCTTCAAAACAAATTTAAAACACATCCTGACACACTTAAGGATGGCGTTACCCTCCACATGCTATGGAAGAATATATAGACCACATGTAGCCTATGTGATTTGGGACATTTACTCACCTGTTAATAACAGGGAAATAATAGCAACAGGTAGGCCTAGTGTGTTTCCTTTCCTGCTTCTGCCAGTCTGAAGACGAGGGCTACCAAGCACACTAAGCTGTCTCACTTGGACGTTACGCCTCCTTGTGGAACAAATTGGAACCACACTCTAAATTAAAATATTTCAATCATGGATAGTCACCACAAGATGGCAGCATTTCCTTAATTTTAGACGAGCTCTGTATCATGCATGAGAAATTTTAAACTACCTTGACTTGAGAGCGTTATTAACCCTTCTTCCCGACATGATAGCATGTCATGTTTGGTACCAATGGATGCAGTATTTTCGTTTCATTTGAAACCTGTATATCCCCTCTAGCTTTAAAAATGAGTCCGCGACGCAGTCCGGATATAGTAACATTTATGTCGGCTGAGGGCACACTAACATTAGACAACAAGTTAACAGTTAGCAATAGCTAACAAAATGACTGCTAGCTAACTGGTAAACCGTTAGCGCAAGCTATACTGTGAAACTGTTTGGTTGACTAATGTAACATAATGGTTTTATAAGTTTAGCTAGTTAACCGTGAGCTAGCAAGAGTTACAGCCACTTCCTGTTTATGGCGATTTGATTTGTGGACTTCCTGTTGGATTTTGAGCATGGGTGCAAGAGGGTTTATTGTAGGTGTTGTCAAGATGGATACGCATAGTAAAATTCAGAATAGTAGGTTCAATGTGCTGCGGGAGCTGAATGTTTGAAATATTGTAGGGCGTGCCACTGAGCCATTAAGCCATGCCCACTCATTTATATGGCATAAAATGTTTGACTTTACCACCAGGATCATATGTATGAAGTTTCGGGACTGAACGACTATGTTAAGCCCGTGAAAAAACTACTTCCTGTTCGATGGCAACAGCGCGTCCGTATGGCGACAGCGTTGGACGTCGGCGTTTGAGCTTGAAGTCCTGTATGGCCAAGGTGTTAGCATGGTCCACACCAATGTTGAGGGGAAAATTAGCTACTGTGTAACAATTGCTAATGCTAATTGAGAAGCAGTAACTGCCTGTTGTCAACAGGTGGCGCTGTGACTAATCAAAAAATTTAAATCATATCTGTCATTTTCATTTCACTATGTTTATCCAGCCTAGAAAAAAAATACCATGTATCATGTATGAGAAATTTGAATATGATTGAACATTAGATGTCAGAGATATAACCATTTACTTTTTTGGCAAGTTGCTAAAATGCGCCTCAAACTTTGAACGCATGCCACGGCTACGCCCTTTGACGAAATAAAAGGGATATGTTGAACATGTGTAGAACACACTGACACTGAGTTTTCACCGAACGGATGAGCGCCCTCGGCCAAGATCCTTCAAATAGGTAACGCAAAATCGTCTTATTTTGAAATTGATGTGTAAATAGCGGGCTTCCTGTACGTTTAAAAGTATGGTCATAATGCAACTTTCTGTTCGTCTCACCAACATACATATGCGTACAAAGTTTTCGTGCCCTAACTCACAATTGGGGGCGCCGTAGAGCCATTTTTTTTTTTTTTAGAGAAATTTTGGTGAGTTTTCACGCACGTTCAAGCTGTCAAAAATAAGCGCGAAGTGGTGGAAGAATAATAATAATCCTTTGGGTTCCAAGAGGGTCCTACGCACTTGTCAGTGCTTCGGGCCCTAATAATAATTCTTTGGGTTTCAAGAGGGTCCTACGCACTTATCAGTGCGCCCAAAACTCCTAAAAATGTGCCGTGGAAGTAGTCAGCTGAATCCTCTGATGCTTGAATTCAGCATGTGAAGAGCTACCTAGACTGAGCAACCTCAGCTCTGGAGTTTAACTTATGTAAGCCAAGAGGAGGAAAGGGTTTGTCTCCTCAAATGCTGGAGTCCATCTTGTTAGAGAGGGTATCCTCTTTGGGTCGGCAGACCACACTTGAAGAGAAAGAAGCAATGCCTGGCGATTGCTTTTAAAGACTGGAACTGCCTGTGAGTTTACCTCAGGCCTCCTCCAATGAGGATAGAGAATTCAGACACCCCCCCATCCCCCGCACTTTTAACACCTATTTGTATAGTTCCCTCTAGTCAGGCCCGAGTCTTTTGTCCAGCACACATGGCTGAGGCCCAACACATTCAAACAGAGCTAAGAGTCATAAACAGTCTAACACAGGCCAAAGTGTCACACCAACGCAGGATTCAATCTCTGCTTGAAGAGTTCAAAAAGAAACACAAAGGAGGCAGGTGGGACCTGTCAGAGAGTTTATCATTTAGAGCAAGTTTAGATAGAGTTTTTAAAACATTAAAGGTAAAAAGTTTTTTGTTAGGGAATACTCTAGAGGACAAGATCAGTAAACAGATAAGAGGTTTCACTTTGTCCACAGGGGGCGCCAAAACGGACATCGTAAATTCCCCCGCCAAGGGGCACTCAATAAAAATAATAACAAAAAGATGACATCGAGGCTGGCGGGGAATCATGGGAGGTCTCTCTGCTCCCCGCCGAACATACTCTGACTAGATCGTAGTGAAGACAAACGAGTGATACAGACCTGAGGACGAGAATATGTTTACCGACAAAGTATCCAAGTATAATCTACATGACGTTTTTATCACAGCAGCACATAAAGCAACAGTACAGCAGCTTTCAGTAGCAGCTGACACTTCCTGAGGCCTGTATCCACCTAGCGTTCTTTTCTCAGCGCCAGCATCTTTTTTCAGTTGTTTTTAATAAGTAGAGAGCGTTCGCAGCAGGAAGCAGCCGCAGCACCCAGCGTCTTTTTCTTTCAAAATTATTTTGATTGATTTTTCTTGGATGCATGTTCACATAGCAATTAGATGGCACAACAGCACATTTGAACCAAAACATCCAACCAGCGTCTTTTTAAAAAAAAAAAAATTTAAGATTTATTTTTGGGCTTTTAATGCAGAGATAGGACAGTGGATGGAGTTGGAAACCAGGGAGAGAGAGTGGGGAATGACATGCGGAAAGAGGCCATGGGGGGAAGTGAACCTGGGCCTCCCGCTCGTGATGAGAGCCTCAATACATGGGACGCGCACCCTAACCATTGCGCCACCAGCGCGCCCCAACCAGTGTCTTTTTAACAAGCGTTTTTGTGTGGCCACGCCGGGCGCTCAAAGTTGAAAATCTATCAACTTTTTAGAAAGGCACTGTTGACGTCACCGGTGTTATTTTGAAAATGTATGACATTCCCTGTATTTTAGCCACCTACGTATTGTATCTTATACCCACATCCTCTTTCCTCCGTGTCCGGTGTTTCCACAGCAACGTAAATCATGTTGTGTCTGTCAAGGCTGCCGTAAAGACACGCCCCGTTACAACTCTAAAATGACGTATTTGTATGGCTTTGATAACTGTTGGAATTATTTGATGTCATGCAAGTACTCTACAATGAAAAGATATATAACATGGCTTTAGTCCATTTTAAATTAATTTAGATATTTCAATGTAAACATTCTAATAAAATTCGACATATTGTACATTTAAATCTAAGAACGATCAGGAAGTACTTAAGTATTAATGCATCCTAATAAAGTCCTTCAATGTTGGAATTAACAGATGATGATCACATAGGTGTGTTCAAGTGGAAAACATCACACATTCATGCACAAAGCTCACTGTTATCTACATTTACATCTTTTATTCTTTATTCAGATTGCGTGTTTGCTGGTTGTCAGAGGTCAGCTGTTCTTCTCTGGCCTCAGCTCTGAAGTCCAACCCCTCCCATCTCAGAGAGCTGGACCTGAGTGACAACAAAAAGCTGCAGGATTCAGGAGTGAAGCTGCTGTGTGATTTTCTGCAGAGTATTTGTCTGAATTTAAATCTCAGGGAAATTTAATGATTTAGGAGATTATTTTTTTCAATTTGCTGAATAATTTAGAGATTTGATGTCAAAATGTTTTTCTGACTGTGAAGTAAAGTATAACAACATGCACATGAAGCCTCTGGTTTCCTCTGGTTCTGTTAAGTGAAATCATGAAGACTTTTGATTCAATAATGTCTGATTTGATAAATGTACTAACATCACAGAGCTGACTAAGATCAGCAGCCTGTTCTTCATCTGTGCACATGAACAGCTGTATCAATGTTGTGCTGACATTTGGAGGATTTAGATTTAGTGAATACACAATCAGAAATTATCCTCTAATCATTTAGAGAAAACTTCATTCATCAGGACAAAGTGATGTTGAGATATTCATCACAACCTGAACACATGTGAGTGGATTATACATTTTTTTTCTTTTTCTTTTATTCTTTATTCAGATTGTGGGGCTGCAGTTTGTCAGAGATCAGCTGTTCTTCTCTGGCCTCAGCTCTGAAGTCCAACCCCTCCCATCTCAGATATCTGGACCTGAGTGTGAACAGCCTGCAGTATTCAGGAGTGAAGCTGCTGAGGGATCTTCAGAAGAATCCAAACTATCGACTGGAGTCTCTGAGGTCAGTCTCTCAGTGTTCTTTAGTAAACCCTCCTCATATTAGGTCATAATTAAATTGTCTTGGTTTGTGGGTTTTTTACTTTTCATCCTTTTCTGTATTTGATGCATAATTTACTGTGATATAAAGAGATAGAGAGAGAGATACTTGATTCATCCCCTCAGAGAAATTCTGGAGTATTCCGTAACTCACACATATAAGTTAAACCATTGAACAGGAAAGAGGTGGAAAGGCAGGCAGTGACGGTTTTGCCACAGCTCCAGTTATGAGCGGCTACCTTTGGCCTGTGTGTTATGAAGCCTAATGTCTGTGGGGACAAAGGATCTCCTGAACCTCTCAGTCCTGCAGGGCAGTGAAATTAAACGTTCACTGCAGAGACTTCTCTGGCCTGTCATGATGTCGTGGAGAGGATGGCTAACATTGTTCAATATAATCTGTCCTCTCCTCCACACGTCTCTCCACCTCTCCACCTCGATCTTCAGTGTGTCCAGACGCCTGCCTAAAACAGAACCAGCCTTTTTTATCAACTTGGTGGAGTGAGGGCGGAGCTTAGTTACAGCGCTGTGGGGGAATCTGATGACTTACAGCTGATGACGGGAGTCTGTGTAGAAAATTATTTCTGTGATCTGTCTTCTCTCATTAGATGGAGATGATCTCTGAATGTGAGCGATCAGGACACTGGTGGTGCAGAGAGGAGCAGCTGTGTCCTGATGATCCACAGAGGATGAACCTCCACCATCTTGTGCGTTGAGAAGCTCTGCAAGCTGAGGAGAGCTTCATCCATCAGGGACTGACAGAGGAATCACATCAAAGTTCATTTCAATGATATTTCTAATGAATTTGTTCTACACACATTACAGGAGTGGAAGGCCAAACATGAAACAGCTGGTAGAAATGTCAAGAGGTCAAAAGCTACCAAGAAATGCTGCAGTTATTCTTCTCGTGATGATTATTTTGATTATATTTCTTACAAAAAGTACAAACCAGAACTTGATCATATGTAACATTTATTCACATAATCTTCTCTTTATAGCCTCTTTAAAACATCCCTCCTCTCCTAAATGTCCTGACCTCATCAGGCTGAACTGCATGTGTGAACAGAAAGTGTCCTTTCACACTAATTTTCAACACACTGCGCGTTGGCTTGAGAATTTGTGTTTGACACTAGTGGTTAAACAACGGTGTTTATATGTTTCTCTTCTGGTCGACATCCTGCATCAACTGCATAAATTGTTGTTAAGATCAGTGGTGGCTCAATGAGGCAGGTTTCTGAGGTCACATATTGAGGTCTACTGCTGGATTCTTGTCTGACATTCCAGTTATAGTCTGAGGAATAATGCCGGCTTCACCATTATCACCATTATTTTGCATGAATTTCTCAACATTACAAACATGCAGGGTCTGAGATTAACACCCGCCAAGCGCCAAATGCGGGTAGATTTTCGTTTGCGGAGTAAATGTCAGAGGGCTATTCGCCACAGGGCGGGTAAATGTTTTGCCCAACAGTCACGTATAAAAAACTATGCTATGAGTATTAAGCGCGTTTGATGTCGCTGCAGCTACTTCTCCCTGCTCCTTTCTCTGCTGTCTACATGACGGAGCATCGTGGTCACGATGACACACACCAACATTGCTGAACAAACACACGCTGGAACGCCAACCACCACGCGCACCTGTTCACTTTAAGTTTAACAGAACATAGTTGATCGTTCGGACCGAGTTGGGGTGGAAAACGTGACCCGGTCAAACGGTCGGTTCGACATTTCTTAGTTCACTCTCACCGTGTCTGTAGCTAACTAAATGATAGCAACGTGATCCCACAGCCTGCTGTAGTCCGTGAACATCTCCACACAGACTGTGAAACAGCGCTGCGTTATAAAATCTTTAGATACAGCGCTTGTAAATGCACGCTCCACTTTTCACTTCAATCAGGCGCAGCAGG